TGGCGTGACAGTAAGGTAGGAAGATGGCGTGGCATTGAGAGTACGATGATGTTGTGGCAGTGAGAGGAAGGACATTGTGTGGCAATGAGAGCAGGAAGATGTTGTGGCTGTGAGAGAAGAAACACAGTGTGGCAGTGACAGCAACTAGATGATATGGCAATGAGAGGAGGGAGATAGTTTGGCATAAAGGGTGTGGCATCTCATTAAAGATTGATTTATCTTTTTAAGTGGTGGAATCTGTAAGGTATGTGTAGGAGTAACAGAGTCATCTAAATTCATTGGCCTCTTTCGATTTCTCACATTTTCAGGTCAGTCATTTGGTGGTGTCGATAATTGAGACTGGTACAAGTTTAAAAGCACACATCTTCAAGCTCACTTGCAGAATCACTACTTTCGAATTTATCATCAATGTCAGGATCAGATGCATTTTAATCATTGTAAGCATCCACATAACTGGCAGGAGCAGCTTAGCCATTACCCTTTTTAATAAATTTCCTCTTAAATGGACAACTTAAGTTGGACGTCCTCTTGTGCTCTGTAGAGCCACATTTGGATCTTTTGAGTTGAGGTATCTGTATAAAAATTTTGTGTAGATTCATTTGAACCATAATCATGTTCCATGGAACTCTCTTTCACAAATAGTTTCCTTGCTCAATGTTCAAAGACCTTACGTTGCCTCTTATAGAGTTTTTTTGCATCCTCAGTTGTTTGCCATAGTAGATAATCAATTCTGTCAGAGTTTAGGGTCTTCAGAATGTATGGAACATTACGAGCCACATGAAAGTCCATTTGCTTAAGGATATGCAGAATCCAGTGGTATTCTGGACCACGTTTCGTATAAAGGTACGTCATGCCACCAATTGATGGCGTATATTGTTTGAAACCTGATAATAAAGACGAGCAAGACTCCAATTTTTGGATCCATATCTTAAAAGTACATTATGTGAAGCCTCAACAATAATGGTACCAAGACCGGGATGTATTAACTTACTTAATTAAGATAGAGGCTGCTTCTCGGCACTCTACTCATAAGCATGGGAATGAAAAACAATCAAGTGTGTGACTAGTTTCATATCGTTTCCTACTAAACTTTATATCATTTTTACTTTTACACAAACTACAGCTACACACCACCAATGGATGAAAATCACACTGGCCACCATTCCATTAGTGTATACCATGGTAGTGGTACAATGCAAGATTTACAATTCTTTCTGCCAATGCATTAGCATCCTTGCCATGGCACATTTAAAGAGGTATTGGCCTTCCTAATAAAATGCTCACAAAAACAACCACAATTGCTCGATGCTTTATGCCCTTAGTGCAGTAACAAAACTTCTTCGCCATCATCACATTTCATGCTTTTTTGTTTTTGTTAATATTTCTAATTTCTTAATATGGTTTTGGCAACATGATTGCTACATCATAAGAGATTACATTGCGGAAAATGCTTTGACATGGCATTTCCAGCAGTGCTGTCGCCATCTTGAATGTGGCATTCCACATTCATGCCATCACCTTAAATGAGGCTGAATACATGATCAGTGCCCATATCCTTCTGCAGATATTGAAGAGCCAGGGTACAACACTTCATCACGTAAATCATCCTTACCATTTTGACATTTGTGATAATAGCACAAAAGGGCACTTGTGATATATTTTCTGATAGTATTGGTACAAATGCAAACGAAACTTTCTCTTGTCAGTGAAACTGCATCTGAACAAGTAACTGCCCTGCTCCATGTTTCTAAACCTTGCTGGTTATGTCCTTCATTTCCTTTCTTGCTTCAAGACAATTTCTATCAAAAACATGTTTGACATGAAGATGTATTTTTTTCAGTGTTCGATAGAAAACACAGTATCTAACACACGAAATTGCCTGGGTGTGGCAAAAAGCCTTCATATATTGAGAATGATGCTTCAGCAATAAAGAAAGCCAATTGCATGATACTAGGAACAAGTAGTATCATCAGCAGTCGTGATTGAGGAACTTTCAAAACTAACGTAGCGAGTTCCGCAAGTGGTGCAACGAAAAGTAAATGAAGCTGTTCCCCCGACCCTATTACATCTAACATATAGAAATTTAACTTGCCTGTCACAGCACAGGTTGTATATTTCTTTACCAATTTGACTAGCTGTGCAGACCCTGAAATATAAAAATAATTCGAAAACCTATTTGTTGGTAATAGCTTGGACATTTCAGGAGTGTCCAACTCAATACTGGAATCAACTTCCAATTGAGTAGAGGGAGAAGCTGTTTTACTACCCTCATCTTCACTGCTATTCTGCTCTTTTTTTACTGATTCTTCAGTATCAATCTGTAAGGATACCATAAAAGGTTAAATCAGTAATCAAATGTTTAACAATGTTTAGATATCTGCAAAGCCAATATTAACTGTATCTTATGATAAGTTTTCAGTGATGTATACATGTATGACTGACATGCAATTATTGGGGTTACACACAAGAAACTTACTACTTTAGATGACAATTGTTGACTTCTAATTGAAGAAATGCCTCTTCCTTTTTCTTTTCCTCTCCAGTAAAAAAAATTGCATTCAGTCATAAACATTACTATAAGTTAATTTAAAACAATAATAAAAAAATTAAATAAGGTAGTCTCTGACTCACATATGTGGCCAGTTACAGAGGGACCATTTTGCATATTCTTGTCTGATATTAACTGGTTATGTGTTTTGTAAATGGGGATACTTTAGGAGCCGTTTTTTGGAAAAAATCAAAATTTATTGCTATTTCTGCTTTTAAAAATGGCCAAAACTGAAAATTTTAAGAGAAGTTACTCAAACTTTCTACATAGCATAAATACATCAATGAAGCAACTTTTAGAAGTCGTAAAATAACAAATTTTGCTTGGAATCAGCTCAAATTATCGACAGAAAATAAGAACACACATCAGTGACTTTATGTATAAACATGAAAACTTTAAAACATGACACAGCAAACTGATTATAAAAACTGGTATGACACTTTAGTCAAATTATCCTACACTTTTAGGATTTTATCGCAACTTGACAACCCACTGACATGTCAGGAACAGAGATCCCATGCTTGCTTACGGGCCCGTGTATTGTTCTTTCCTTCCCTGGCCACTTTGTTTAGCCATTTAGGTTAAGACAACCATTGATTTGAACACAAAATGAAAGCAGTTAACTGTGCCTGCATGGATAATTAGTCTGCACCGTGATCTAAAGTCGTCAGACCTCCCTGTTTCCCGGCTTTGTACCTGTCGGTCCCTGCCGGAGCTCCCAGGTCAATGCCCAGACTTCATTGATAGTGGGATTAAATTCCAGCTTATTTTAGCTGTCCAATATGTTGCTTTGTATATTTTATTTTAGAAAAAATTTCTATCCAAACAACAGGGATACAAATAAAACCACAAGGATACATCACATTTGTAGCATAGGCACTGCCTTTGATACCCCACGCACTATTATACAATGATGAATTGTAAAATCTGCCATAAGGTACCTTTTGTCAATTATGGTCACATATGCAACTTGAATGTTCAAGTTTCTTTTAATATTGATAATCAAACAGCTATAGGGGCGAGGCCATGCACCGTAGGTGTCTCATGTAGAAATGGTCTTTGTTTGTACATGGCAACTCACCCACATGTACACCAATTTTTTCTGGGAGTGGAGTATGGGCCTGTGTGGCCAGTACTGGAGATAAAGTGTGGGCTTGGGTGGTAATTATTAGGGGTTACGTGGTGTTTGTACATAAACATAATGCAATTAATTGATTGAATTTAGTATTCAATACTGTACATGTAACAATTGTGTGTGTATGTTTGTGTGTGTCTGTGTGTGGTTTTTTCTGTTCATTATCGTACTTTATTGCAGACATGGGTTCTAGCACTTGGTGCTTCTACTTAAGCACAAATAAGCACAGCTTTCAAGGTACTTAGTGTTGCTTACAAGTACCTTTTCAAGATAAAGTATGTTCTTTGTACATGTACTTGTACTTAACTACTTTTACAAATTAACAAAAGCAGAGCAAAAATTGCTCATAAATAGTGTACATGTACATGTAGTGGTTACACAGTCCTGTAAATTGTAGTAACAGCAGTATACAAGTTTAGTAGCACATTGTGTGATTGTGTGCTAGCTTGAAGAATGCACCAATGTTTCACTTCAAACATTAAGGGTATAATTAGAATATTTACGGAACATAATTTGAAATTAAATCAGAGGCATCCGGTCAGGAATGATGTTACAACAACTATATTATATTTATGATACAACTCATAGACATATTATTATTATGTGAATATTATAGTATAATACTGTATGAACCTATATCACACTACTTCACATCCATATCACTCACTCCATGAAACTGCGCAGCTGCAGAAACAGCTGTACCTATTCAAACTAGTTGTAGTAGGACATGTTCTGAGGTCTGTAACAGTACTTAAGAAGTTTTTACAGCAGTAACAAAGGTATGTCAACATTGTCTAAAACTTGGCATATTTTACACAAGGACTGCAATGTGGTGTTAAAAAATAAGGTCAGACTTGGAAAGAGATTTAAAAGGTGAAGGGTTATTCCTCTTTGTGAGCAGATGTGTCTTATTTGTGTGTTGTAATGTATGTTTGTGACAAACATATGTTATATGAAGCATATACATGTACATATTTAGTATAGCATATATAGCCTGTGTGTTTACATTGCTTGCCGTTGATGATGTTTCTTTCTTACTTTGCTTTAAGGTATTTACAGCTGCAAATGATTTAATGATTCAGCAATAAGGTGTAATAATACTTTCGTAGCATGGTGAATGTCTAAGGATATTGTCTGATTTCATTTGTGGTAACTAAATTAATTTCTAATAAATAATCATTGTAACATTATGTTTTGTTGTAGCTCTTTGATCAGTGGTGCTTTCACACTGGAGGAGGTGCCAGTTTTCAGCTGCACAGGTTTCATATTGTCATAGTCTTAGCAATTGAATACATAGTAAGATAGAATATTGTGAGATTCCATAGTTTTTTATTATTGTGTTATAGAATATGATCCAAGGCTATAATTCTTTTTGATGATTAATATTGATTATCTGATTAACTATGGCCACGGTATGTAAGTTAACTCTATAGATCTACATGTACATAATAATTTAATAAAAGTTATAGTTCTTCGTTGTGCTGCCACTCCTCCTGCCCATGCCTCTGCCTCTTGGCCTGCCTCTCGGAAGATTGTTGTACTACAGTAAAATTGAATAGCAAGGTGATTAATTGGTATCTATATAAACTGCAAATCATAACTAAAATAATCTTACAATATCTCTATTGATTTGGCGTAGCTGCCATATAATGAGCTGCCTCTGCCTTTGCAGAGCAGCAATGTCAAGAGGACCTCCAGCTCCAGCTGAATGGAGTGCTGGAGCAGCATGGGGATGTGGCGGAGGACCTCCAGCCAGCAGTGGAGGACCACCAGCCACTGGTGGCGGACCTCCAGCCAGAGGTGGAGGTCCTCCAGCCAGCAGTGGCAGACCTCCAGCCAGCTGTGCAGGACCTCCATCAACTGGTGGAGGACCACCAGTAACTGGTGGAAGACCACCAGCTACTGGTGGGGGACCACCAGCCACTGGTGGCGGACCTCCAGCCAGCGGTGGAGGACCTCCATCCACTTGTGGAGGACCTCCAGCTACTGGAGGTGGCCGAGGAATTCGTGGTGGTGGTGGTGGTGGCGGGTGTGGTGGTGGAGGCCCTCCAACTACTGGTGGTGGTGGAGGAGGACCTCCATGATGCTCATCATAGTCCATAAACTATAAGAAAACATAATGATAGATAATGTAAGTTTTTAACTGAACTGACTTGCTGCTTTTTCAAAAAAAATTGCTAAGGAACACAGAGAATAAGTTTGTGAGCTGTGAGCGGGAAAATGGCAACTGAACTGAAGCTGAATGTAAACTTAAATAGTTTCAGAACAGGATATAGATCTTAGTAATGACAATAATGATAATAATGATTAAATAATTATTAATTATTCTAAAAAATAATACATAAATTTCAACCCTACTTTGCAGAATATGCTAATATTCAGACTACAATAAAAACATGGGCGGTTGCAGAAATTTGGTTTGACCTGGGCATCAATAATTAGTGGGTGTGAAGTGGGTGTGGTTTCATACAATTTTGCGAGGAAAAATGGAGAATACTGATCTATAACTTCATTGAGATGGTTTCTTAGCATAAAACAACAAAGAAGCCTATTGAACTACCACAGTGTACACTGGATGCCCACACCAGAATCATGAATATAATTATTGGTCAAAAAGTCAACCTGGGCATTGCCCCCTAATGCCCAGGCCTGCAATCGCCTATGAATATAAATTAATGAATTTAAATTATTTATGCCTCTGTACTTAGTGATTGCCTTAATACATTGCTATGAGTATGATGTAATTTAAGTATTCTGATAAATAAAAATCAGAATTTTTACCTAGCATTGATTGAATAAATTACTGTCATCACAAGCGAAAATTCTAAAATACGATGATTAGTTTGCTATTGCATTCTTTAATTTTTGTGATGCATTACCATAAAAATTAATAAAATTAAAATATTAATGTACACTTGTTCGTTTGATTTCATGTCTTTAGTATATATACATTTTTAAAATTTTGATCTGATTATGTTACATTGTTAGAAATTGTCAGTAGGGCCAACTCGCACACTTGCGTAGGCTGGAACTAAGCAGTTGTGTTGTCATTCTTTCATTAAACTTTGTCATGTTAAAGGAATCAGTAATCCTTCATTAAATGCTGCAAAGTAGGGTTGAAATTTATGTATTATTTTATTAATTAACTTTTATTATTATTAATTGAACAATTAATTATTATTATGGTTGAACTCACCCCCTTGTTTCTTTTATTTTTTGACAACCCTACATTTTCTTATTTAATAGAAATTTTTTTTATTCACTTATTACTTGTTGTAGTAGGACATGTTCTGAGGTCTGTAACAGTACTTAAGAAGTTTTTACAGCAGTAACAAAGGTATGTCAACATTTTCTAAAACTTGGCCTTCGATATAAATATAAAATTTAGTTACTTCTATTTTTTAAAATAATCCTATCAAGTATATCAAGTCACTGTATAATTGCAGGTAATTATGACCACAAAAACACCAGGATTTCCTAAGGAGTCATTGTAGAGTTTGTTCCAAAGGATTGGGCGAGATTAAGTATACAACAATTAAATATGAGCATATTTTGAAGTTCTGAGGTATAAACCCAACAATGACAGTAGTGATGTACATCCCGAGTCCTTTTGTAATAGCTGTTACTCAGCATCTAAGAGGCAAATGTCATCTTCATCTCCATCTGT